ATATGTATATATATACATATACTTTTAATATTAAACATCATTCAAAACTAACATTTATGGATTTTCAACATTGAAGCTGAAAACACAAATTTGAGGCAGATGCATATATAATTTTCTGTCGATTAAATATCTTGAAACTGAAACACCTGTATTCTATAATCTCAGCCAAGGATCCAGTAATCTCATCCCTCATAAAGTCCAAGTCAGGTTGCAAAAGCTTCTTTAACCGGCAGTTCTCAGCTACTTTAATCACCCATTAACCACCAAGAAGGAAGTACATTTGGTTGAATCATGAAAGCTGATGATATTTGAAGTATGTGGAATACATATAATTTGCTGTAGCATAATCATTTCTCTCAGTTTTGAAATCAGCTGCCTTGACACTTGAGATGGTCCATGAGGTCTTTGAGTTCGCTCTTACATCAGCTGTCTCCAGTGCATGTTCATCTGAACGAAAATTAGGAAGAATTATTGCGTGAATTTACTTGCAAATTCATCTTCTTAGCATCATTATTGGAGTTGTGTGATGAATTATCCCCCTTCTCTCTGTTTAAATGGATTGCTTTCACTAATAACCTTGTCCTAGGCTCTGGAGTCATTCCTTTTGATCTCATTTCACTGTAGAATTCCAATGCCTCATCTAGCTTTCCGTGACTGTGAAGTCTATGAATCCTTACTGTGTAAGACCGCTGATCAGGACCTAACCCACTCCTCTTCATTTCAGCCCATACAGATCTTACACCCTGCTGATAATTCCAGTGCAAATAAAGATTCAGGATCAAATTGTAAGTGTCAGCATCAATTCTGCAGCCAGTCCTTTCCATTCTCAACAACAAAGGGGAAACCTCTTCAGGTTTTTCCATTGTTTTCAAAATGTAAGAGTAAGTTATGGTATTTGGGAGGCAACCCTTTTGTTCCATGTCATCCAACAGCTCGTGTACTTTCTGCATCCTCCTGATCTTACATAGATGTTTGATGAGAGAGTTATAGGTTGCTACATCTGGAAGGCAACCACGCTCATCCATTTCACTAAATATCTCGAGGGCTTGCGGGATTCTCTTCTTAAAGCATAATGCATCAATGATGCAATTGCAAATTGTAACATCTGGATTGCACCCCTTCTTCCACATGGATGTAAATAAATTCACAGCAGAACCAAGCTTTCCAGCTTTTGTTAAAGCATTAATGAAGATGCCATAGGTGAACAAATCTGGTTTGCAGCCAGAAGAGATTATGTCATTCCAAACTCTCTTAGTATCGTGTAAGCTTCCCAGCACACACCAACCATTAAGGATGATATTTCTGCTCTTTATAACAGGTGGGAACTCATCTTGTTTCTGAATAAACAGAGCTTCTGCTTCCTCAACATGTTTATATCTGCAGAGGGACATCAGAAGTGTCTGGAAGCCGATCATATCAAGCTCAAAGCCATATTCTCTCCTCTTGTAGAATATTTCTATAGCTTCTTGTACCTTATGGGTGCCTGCATATCTATTCATAAGAATTGCAAAAGTTTTGTCATTAATGATGGATGGATCTATATCTCTTGGAATCTCATCAAAAGTTTGCCTCATTAGCCCAATTTGCTTCATCCTACCAAGAATGTCAAGCATCTCATTGTATACTCTTGATCCATGCTTATAATCATTTTGCATAGAAGCCCAATTAAAAAAAGACATGGCAGGCTTCCAATCAGAGCGGTGCCTCCGAAGAACATTCACAACTAGGTCTTCGGTTAACTGAATATTACATTTATCAAGAACCGATGGAAGCTCAGTGCTGTTCTCATGAGACTTTAGTATCTTTTGGATCATCATAGCATCTCTAGCACTTGGACCATTATCAGATGCCAAGCCATCGGTGGAGGGCAATGAAACACACACTTCTGATACTGAACTTGAAAGACGTAGTCTAGATTGCATAGAAGTGCCCAGGAAACCTTTTGGATATATGTTTTGCAATGAAATAAAGGAATGGATTCCGATATTCTGCGAGAAGTACAGTGATTTTCTTAACAGAGCACAATGGTTCCACAATGCGTCTTGGACGTATGAGGTGTTGCTTGATGCTATGGTTGCAAATGTCTGTTTGAGCACATGATTTTGGTTGACGAGTAGCAATTGATCTGAACATAATTAAACCTTAGTATTCCAGATATCAAAACAGTCAAGTTCCGAAATTTCTATATAAATCATAATCTTGAGGACAATGACTGCAAAACTGGCATATGCTAGGAATGCTTAGAAGAAGGAAAGATTATATTATGTGCCAGAATAAGAAAATTTCCCACATCCAGATCTATTACTGTGGTGAATTCTTCCAATAAAGTTCTCCAAAAAGAGGCTGAAAATTTATCAAACTAACAGATTTAACCAACCCACTGAGAACCCAAACCCACAAATCACAAGAACAGTACCAATAACTAGCACAACAATTCAAACTAAGCCTGTTAAATGCGATTCATTATTTATCAACTTAAGTCCAGAAATCCAGTGCAAACAAGAACTTCTTGGTGTAAAGTTTGGCATCTTTCTTGTCTAAAATTAAGTTGAATGCTCAAATTTGGAAATAATGCATATCAAGGCTCTACCATCTAGAAGAAAGTGGATCAATTAATTACCAAACTGTACAAAACCAACGGAAGCAGTCTGACCATGAAAAGGTGTTACACTGGGATTCCTTAGCTATTACAATTTATTCAATATATTCCGTGACCTTATTATCTATCATCTCCACTAAGGTGGAACCAATTAGAAACCAAATTGCACGAGGTTCAGATCTTTCTTCCTCGACACCAAGCATCAAACTTAGAACTTGACAAAATAAACCAATTACCAGTACCATGTAAGACATCATGCTTCAGAAATGAAAAAGATGACGAAACTTACCAAGGATGACAGGAGTCGCAGCCAAAAATAGAACCCTGGACTTGGTGACCCTCGAGTAACACATCGGAATATAAAGGACAGCAACGGCTCATAGACTTAATTGAGGGGCAGAAAGTCGATGACGGCACTGGGAAGGCCACATGAAAGAGAAAACCATGCGATGCAGGAGATCACAAGTATGCCGCTGCAAGTTGCCAAGGGTTTTGATAGACAGCAGAATCCGCGTTCCAAATATACATGCTAGGTAAGACATTTCAGCAAACAAGTGGTGATCAAACAAGTGTTTCCCATCTTAAGCCTCACTTCACAGCGATAATCCACAGGCAGGTGATCGAAACAGAGACTCGGTTCGGATAACATGGTGAGATGACTGACGGCACGAAATTGAAGGCTGGTAGCAGTGTGTGCTCGTAGCGGAGGAGGCGAGGGTGTAGTGTTGTGATCGGGGTGGTGTTCCAGCTATAGTGAGGTCGAGGCCGTCGAAGGGTCGCAAAGCCTGGAGAGGCACTTAGCTTTATGCCATGTTGTGACCCAACCCAAGCCCAGCTTGTATAACGAGTTAGATGTATTACTTTGAATGCGGCTTTGCTTCTCCAGTATACATGCGTTTGGTCTATGAAGCTTAACATAAATTAACATGCGCTAATTACATATTATCTATAGTATAGTAAGTATTTCTTAATATCTTGATCTTTATATTTTTAAAAATTATATTAAGATCCCTATATTTAGAAAAATAAAATATTTAATCTCATTGTCTCAATAAAATCTTTTTTTCATTTTCGTAAATATAGAGATCCTAATAAAATTTTTAAAAATATAAAGGTCAAACTATTAAATATAATTAATTAAAAATAATAATTTATATTTAACTCATTTAATAACGAGAATAAGGTAAAAAGGCACAATTGTAACTGTCCAAAGAAGAGGACGATACATTAGCGGAGGGGATAGGCTTTTTATCGAACACCTCAAGAACTTTTATATTGGCCTAGAACTAAGAAGCTAAACTTTTCAGCCACAATCCTTGAGCTCATATCAATCATCAACGAGGGATTAGACAACATAAATATTTTTTACTGCAAAAAATCCCAGTGGACTGGAAGAAAATATATAATTTGAGAAGCTGATACATCGTGATGATCCTTTTTTGTCTGACATGAATTTAACAGCAGAGGAGACCGTCCTGAGATCAGCTGAAGGTTAAGAGTTACCATGTTATAACCACAACCAAGAATTTTCAATCATATCAAGCTGATGTCTGCACTATAAAAAAGGAAAGAAAATAGAACAGGATCTTTTTTCTTTTTTTTTTGCTTCCTAGAAATACTCAAAATCAAGATAGGAAGAATCATTTGAACTGCCCTTGTTTGCACTACTCCCAGAAAGGCCACTTTCAGAGCCCTTCTTCTCTTTACTCACGAATTGATTATAGTTGACCGGATCAGGAATATGTGGTGGCGTCATGCTTCTCACCAAAGCCCAATTTATACCATCGAAGAATGGATGTTGCTTAATTTCTGTGGCACCTCTATGATATGCAATTCGTTTTTGAGGGTCCTTGACAAGTAGGCCTTGTATGAGGTCCCGAGCAACCAGGCTCACAAGAGGGGACTCCGGAAACCTCAGGGGCTGCCCTACCACATTATGAAGTGTGGCACGGTTACCTGAGCCTTTGAAAGGGGTTGTCCCATGCAAAAGCTCGTAGAGGAAGATACCAAATGTCCACCAATCCACTGCACTGCCATGTCCCTCACCTCGAATAATTTCCGGTGCCAGATACTCATGAGTCCCAACGAATGACATTGATCGGGCATGTGTTGGCTCAGCCATGAACTCCAAGTTGGATCCGTTGCTAATGCCAAAATCCGATTTAGATTTCCGATTTCTTTTGGGGAGTATCCGAGGGAAGAATGTTGATGGCTGGATGCAACTCTGTACGACGTGCTCGCTGTCAAGCATACTGTTAGTAAAACTACTACTGCTTGTGCGACCAGACGTGGATTTGACTAGTGTTGGATCAACAGAGCATCGCAGTGAGAGATCAAAGTCTGACAGCATAATATGGCCCTCCTCCCTTACAAGAACATTTTCAGGCTTCAAGTCTCTGTACACGATACCTAGCATGTGCAAGTACTCAAGTGCAAGCAACACCTCAGATGCAAAAAATCTGTGGCACATAGAACAGTGAAATGAATAAAATGTTCCAAACCTTACGATGATAATGCAGCAAAAAAATTTGTCACATTCAAAAGATGATGGAAAGTAGCATGGTTAAGGAAGGTCAACCAAGACAAAAGAAAGGTAGAGCATGAAGTCACACTCAATTTCTACTCTGCACCACCTTTACACACAAGAAATATTAGGTACAGTGCACAAAACATCCCTTCTATCAGCTTAACTTACTAAATTGATACATAATTGAACTGTTTAACCATGCTTCTAAGAACTGTCAAAAGTTTCAAAATTTCAGAGAAGATTTAAAATGTTGTATTGAATGTAGATTTACATGCATTATCAGATACCACTAGAAAATGTAACTAATAGTTGAACAAGTTTGCAACTGGAGTTTGATCAGTATTTGTTTATTTATTATTTTAATGGTACCTGAACTATTCATGGTGTATCAATTGGATAAACATATAAGATAAGTTGCAAAAAGAAAAGGAGATTCAGAGGATTCCCATAATGAACAGCATAGGGCTGATGGATGATCAAGCGGGAAAGAAAAGTTTATTTCCATAATGTGGATTTTTCTTCGACTCAATGAATTTCCTGGCTTAGGTACCTCTGTCAGAAATCTCCTTCCTGCCCACACTTCCATTCTCTTCCTCCTCTGATCTTAAAAAGCATACTAAACTTCCTTCAATCTTCCCCATGTAGCAACAAGAGCAGCTCTCTCATCATTCAAGGCCTATTGATAATCTATGATCAACTTTCTTTCATAATAAACCCCAGGGGAAGTAGAATCCCTGGTGAATCCTAGAAAGAGCAATGTCCTCAACCACTGGACATTAGGGGCATATCGACCATCATCATGCTATAGTGATAGTATGAGTAGTTTTTGGAATTGTCAGTATCATCTAATAATATGACTAGATCTAAACACTCCTTTATACTTTTGTGCCCCTTAGAGACATTCACGGATACCATTCGGATAGGGCCCATCCATATTAATGAGTTAGTTCTATATCTAGTTTAGAGCTTGTTTGTTGCGGGGGGTGTATCTTGTTTAAAGATTCATCTAAGACATTTTTTTATTTTGGTTCTATTCGGTAGATTATTAACAGAATAATCTAATCTTTTATAGAGATTGAGGCCCGATGAATTAAGCTACCACCAATATATGGTCTAAGGAGAGCTAATGTATGCAATCTTATGTTGTTTGGTTCCATGGTTTGAACTATATTCACCCAGATACAAAAGAACACCTTTATCATAGTTCCAAGGTTTGTTATTGCAAAGCATAACCTCTTACATTAGAAAAAAAGAATTCTTTCTTGATTTGAAAAAAAAGGTCCAAAGAAATTTTATAAACTTTATTTCATTTTTCAGTGTGGAGAGAGAGGCTTATGGCTGGAAGCTTCATATCAAGCAAAGGTTTCCTCGTATGCAAAAAGTTGGCCACAAATTGAATGGACTTCAAGAGGTTAAGGATGAAAATGATGCATGAGGAATGGGAATACTGGGTTTCTGTTCCATCACCTGCTGTAAAATTACTTCTAAAAAAGTTGGCTTTCACCATGGCAACAGTGCAGAATAGAGAATTGATGTATAAGATGTAATAGGCTGAACGAGAACATTATTGAGTATATACTATAAAGCTGGAGCATAAAGTTATCCCAGTGGATTTTCTTTCATCTTGGAGATCAAAGAACACTCTAAATCTGGGAACAAATTCTTGGGTGGATGTGGTTGCTACTTTTGGAATTTGAACATGATAGAATTTGATTAGTATATTGTCAGTCAGTTGATGCTCTACACCATTAAATTTAGAGAATATTTTGGATATTCTCAGTTTTTTGAGTTGCTTAATGTGAATACATAAGAACAGACCATAAAATCACTCAGGAGGATGCACAGTACACAAGCTGTGAATTGTAGACAACTGAAAAAATAAAGTAGTCGCTGAAAAGTATGTATACAAATCTGAAGCAAAGTCAGTAGGTCATCCTAGACTACCTGTCAAATTAGTTGTGGTTTTGTTTCAAAGAGTGCTTCTAAGCACAGTGCAAACTTAGTCTGGACATGCACATCAACTGAAGAACCAAGAAACACGTGAGGAGCAAATAGTATAAAACCTAAGATAGAATAGGCTAATGTAAAATCGCCACGTGAGGCTCTTCAGTCAAAGGTTCAGCTGAAGACAGATAGTTGCAAAGTTTCTGAATTTGATGCAGTGTTGAAAAGCAATGTGACAGGTCTTTTTGATAAGTGCGCCCTATGACAATTATTTGAATCCTAAAGTTCTTAAGCTTCCAAGTGATGTGCATATTCAACTTCATGATATTAAGCACTAAAGCACCCAAAAGAAACAACATCAAAATGACATAAATATGATCATTAAGGGAAGTGAATGGTAAAATTAGAAAATCAGAGTAAGGGATATGTTCAATTAGGTGCAAAGGTTCGGCAACTGATAGAGAGATTAGAGTAGTATGAGACGAGGGATAAGGAATTTTGGTAAGACAAGAACCTGAAACAAAGAGTCTTACAAGAAAAGCAGTAAAAATGATATGGAAACAAGATGCTTGAACTAGAGTCTAAAAAGAGAGGAAAGTAGTAAAATAAAGGAAGTGTTATAAAAATGACGGAAATCTTGTAAGTTGTAACAATATGGAGGTAACACCTTACTGTTCTCCATTTACTCCATGAGGGACAGACAGCTACCATTGATATTCCCCATCTCAATCTTCCTCAACTGATACATTTACCGAATTCAGGGTAAAAAAGTTTAAATCTTCGAACATAAAATATGTTATCTAATAGGATAAATGCTATCTAGTTGGAGGTAGAAGCATCAATTTCCTATTGAAACCTCAAAATGCAAAGAATCTATTAGTTACATACAGAAAGTAAATCTATAGTTACGTAAAAGAAAGATGCAGGTGTGACCATAACCAAGAAAGAATGACGTAACTGCTGTGCATGAAACAATTTTACTGAGAAGTGGTTGCAGGGAAGTAGAAAAGTTTACACATACTTGCACAACTATCGTCAAGCAGAAGTTGTTCTAGGAGAAGGTAAATAACTGGAGTAAAAGAAGAAACTGAAGAAATTTACCTAGCAGCTTGCTCGCTGAAATATTTATTAGGCTGCTTCTGCCGAAGAGAATGGAGATTGCCACCGCTGCAGTACTCCATAACTAAGCAGTAGAACTTTTCTGTCTCAAAGTGAGAATACAGAGTCGGCAAGAATGGGTGGTCAAGCATGCTAAGTATTTCCCTTTCAGTTTGTGCTCGGAGTAGCTTATTCCTGCTAACTATTGAGGCCTTGTCCATCACTTTCATTGCAAAGTATGTACCAGTTCCTCTAAGATCAACAAGATAAACACTGCCGATGTCACCATAACCAAGGCGCTTAAGAAGTCTAAAATGACCTATGCCAACAGGGGATTCTCTCGCATTGGCCAATTGAATGGCCTCCCAACGACAATCACCTCCAGTGTGCCGTTTAATAGGGGCAGAATTGGCACTTTCAATGCTGTCACTTCTATTGCTACTGTTGCTACCTCGATTAACAGTTGTGCAGGTGTCACTAAGTTTTGCATCACTACTCTTTGTGGTCACTGTTGTGGTTGATGTTCCCATCGAGGTTGAGGTAGAGGATGAGGATGAAGCAGTTTCAAAAATCATTGGCAATGTGGCGTTAGGACATGGATTTGGGTAGCATTTTGGGCTTCGAGGTGGATTCTTCATCACATTTGTCCCATTCTTGATGATTGGTTCCAAATTTTTTTTATGTGATGCTTTCGATGATACTGAATCCAAACTTGCAGGTGGTCTAGGACTTTGGCATGGACTTGTGTGCACTTCAACATTATTTCCAGTCTCTGTGCTTCTTGTTGAGTCCATACATGTGGGTGCTATTGGATTCACTTGTTTGTCTTTAGACGATACTCTTTCTGGAAGAATGGAATTCATGTCAGCTTTCATCAAGTAGAAACACCAGAATTGTCAAGCAAACTACAGTTAAATAAGTTAAAAGGATGCCAGTACTTGCTAAATTTTACCTAGGTATTAGTAAGAACAGGTAATGGGCACTAATACTGAAACCACAAAGAGCTACATGGCCATTAGAAAAGGTTATTCCTTTTTTAAGATAAAAAAGGGTTACCCCTCAACGGGTCCTTGATTATCTCAAACAGAAACACCTGCCACAGCACGGGTCCCTTATCTTCTATCAGAAGCACAAGCAATAAAGAATCAAGACTGGAATGACATTACCGAGACATCATCACAAAAGATGGTTTCAAGAAACGCAAATCGGTGAGACCACAACAACACCGAAACCAACGTAGAGAACAACACAATAAACCATGCGACAGAAACTTATATGACTTCGTTTTCACAAAAAGAATAAGGAACCACATGTAGATACAAATTAGGGTTTTTGGAGACCAGATCGCAGAATCAAGTAATACAGAGTAAAACGAAAAAGAAAGGAAAGGGATTAAAGACGAAGATTGATGGGTGTTCATCATGAAAGGGATCACAGAACCAACCTACGGAGCTCATAGGTTCCAAGAAACGCTCTAGAACCCGATTCCTTGAGAGCAAAGAGGTCACGGAGAGGTGAAGAGGATGTAACCGGGCAATTGCGTCCGAAATTGGGCGAGTGGGGCCGCCTCCTCCTCGGAGCCCATCGACGGGATACGGGAGCTGGGTTGGATTCGTGGGGCTGTGAGAGGATAGCGCGGAGAGAAGCCATAAATAAGCTAGGGTTTGGTTGTTGAGAAGATCTGCTAAAGGTGAGGGATAAAGAAGAGATTAGACGGCAATAGCGGGGACAGGAGGGAGGCGGTGGGAAACGGTCGGCAGCGAGGTCAACGGAAACGAAGCCAACGAACGCGTGGCCGCTTCGTACCGCCGACGCTGTGGCGGGAGCTGTTCGAACTGGGTTCGTGTATAGATCTCGTGGCTCAGGGTTCAAACCGGACCGGGTCCATGTTACGGGTCCGGTCGAGCCTGGTTTGGTCCAGAGCATTTATAGATATGGAACATTATTTTCGAAGCCCCATCAGAACTTTTGCTCCTAAGCTTATTGAGATCATAATCAATTTGAACATTATTGATGAAT